ACAAAATTATTCATCCTTACCATTTTTTGTCACTGCATCTTCTCAAGCTTAAATGTCTTGTTTATTGTGTCTCGTTTATTGAAGAATGTTTTTGAATATAAAGTAGATAGTCCATGGCTTCTGTTTTTTTCCCGCAGTTTCTGGAACAATATTTTGAGTCTCAAGGCTATTGATAAGCATCTAAGTGGATGAATGTTGCAATGATTGCTGTTTCCCGTCGGGTTGTAAAACATGCTCCATGAGGACGTGAATGATGTCGCAAGTTGCAACCCGGATAACGGCATCTGAAAATTGAAAGACACTCACAGGATCCGTGGTCAGAAATGAAACAGGTGTGAATATTTAGTTGTTGTCGTGACGTCCATTGTTGAGCGTGACTTCTTTCGTTGAAGAAGCAAGAAGATCAGTCGTTGGTGCTAGTAGTAATGCCGATGGAAGCGTTTATCGATCCATATCTGAAGCCAGTCTAAAATTATCCTCGTCTCTCTGCCATATTGGAGGAACTTTCGAGTGCTTCGGCTTGCGTTTATGTCCACTACTCAAAATCCTTGAGAAACGGGTGATCAAAATCCCTTTGATCAAGGATTTTGTTCCTTACTTGCTTATGGTTCCTTACTTGCTTATTTTTTCAAGGCAACAGCCTTTTTCAAGTCAATTTTTTTCTCCTTCTACGCTTGAAATCTCTGCAGCTGTTAAGTAACAAAATTATTCATCCTAACCATTTTTTTTGTCACTGCATCTTCTCACGCTTAAATGTCTCGTTTATTGTGTCTCGTTTATTGAAGAATGTTTTTGAATATAAAGTAGATAGTCCATGGCTTCTGTTTTTTTCTCCGCAGTTTCTGGAACAATATGTTGAGTCTCAAGGCTATTTATGAGCATCTGTGTGGATGAATGTTGCCATGATTGCTGTCTCCCGTCGGGTTGTAAAGTATGCTCCGTGAGGACGTGAATGATGTCGCAAGTTGCAACCCGGATAACGGCATCTGAAAATTGAAAGACACTCACAGGATCAGTGGTCAGAAATGAAACAGGTGATGTGAATTTTTAGTTGTTGTCGTGCCGTCCATTGTTGAGCGTGACTTATGTCGTTGAAGAAGCAAGAAGATCTGTCGTTGGTGCTAGTAGTATTGCAGATGGAAGCCTTCATCGATCCATATCTGAAGCCAGTCTAATATTATCCTCGTCTCTCTGCCATATTGGAGGAACTTTCGAGTGCTTCGACTTGCTTTTATGTCTAGTACTCAAAATCCTTGAGAAACGGGTGTTCAAAGTCCTTTGATCAAGGATATGGTTCCTTACTTGCTTATGGTTCCTTCTTTGCTTATTTTTTCAAGTCAACAGCCTTTTTCATGTCAATTTTTTTCTCCGTCTACGCTTGAAATCTCTGCAGCTGTTAAGTAACAAAATTTTTCATCCTCACCATTTTTTGTCACTGCATCTTCTCAAGCTTAAATGTCTCGTTTATTGTGTCTCGTTCACTGAAGAATGTTTTTGAATATAAAGTAGATAGTCCATGGCTTCTGTTTTTTTTTCTCCGCAGTTTCTGGAACAATATGTTGAGTCTCAAGGCTATTTATGAGCATCTGTGTGGATGAATGATGCCATGATTGCTGATTCCCGTCGGGTTGTAAAGTATGCTCCATGAGGACGTGAATGATGTCGCAAGTTGCAACCCAGATAACGGCATCTGAAAATTGAAAGACACTCACAGGATCAGTGGTCAGAAATGAAACAGTTGATTTGAATATTTAGTTGTTGTCGTGCCGTCCAATGTTGAGCGTGACTTCTGTCGTTGAAAAAGCAAGAAGATCTGTCGTGGGTGCTAGTAGTTTTGCAGATGGAAGCGTTCATCGATCCATATCTGAAGCCAGTCTAATATTATCCTCGTCTCTCTGCCATATTCGAGGAACTTTCGAGTGCTTCGACTTGCTTTTATGTCTAGTACTCAAAATCCTTGAGAAACGGGTGTTCAAAGTCCTTTGATCAAGGATTTGGTTCCTTACTTGCTTATGGTTCCTTCTTTGCTTATTTTTTCAAGTCAACAGCCTTTTTCATGTCAATTTTTTTCTCCGTCTACGCTTGAAATCTCTGCAGCTGTTAAGTAACAAAATTATTCATCCTTACCATTTTTTGTCACTGCATCTTCTCAAGCTTAAATGTCTCGTTTATTGTGTCTCGTTCATTGAAGAATGTTTTTGAATATAAAATAGATAGTCCATGGCTTCTGTTTTTTTTTCTCCGCAGTTTCTGGAACAATATGTTGAGTCTCAAGGCTATTTATGAGCATCTGTGTGGATGAATGTTGCCATGATTGCTGATTCCCGTCGGGTTGTAAAGTATGCTCCATGAGGACGTGATTGATGTCGCAAGTTGCAACCCGGATAACGTCATCTGAAAATTGAAAAACACTCACAGGATCAGTGGTCAGAAATGAAACAGGTGATGTGAATATTTAGTTGTTGTCGTGCCGTCCATTGTTTAGCGTGACTTATGTCGTTGAAGAAGCAACAGGATCTGTCGTTGGTGCTAGTAGTATTGCAGATGGAAGCGTTCATCGATCCATATCTGAAGCCAGTCTAATATTATCCTCGTCTCTCTGCCATATTGGAGGAACTTTCGAGTCCTCTGGCTTGCTTTTATGTCTACTACTCAAAATCCTTGAGAGACGGGTGTTCAAAGTCCCTTTGATCAAGGATTTGGTTCCTTACTTGCTTATGGTTCCTTCTTTGCTTTTTTTTCAAGTCAACAGCCTTTATCAAGTCAATTTTTTTCTCCGTCTACGCTTGAAATCTCTGCAGCTGTTAAGTAACAAAATTATTCATCCCTACCATTTTTTGTCACTGCATCTTCTCAAGCTTAAATGTCTCGTTTATTGTGTCTCGTTTATTGAAGAATGTTTTTGAATATAAAGTAGATAGTCCATGGCTTCTGTTTTTTTTCTCGGCAGTTTCTGGAACAATATGTTGAGTCTCAAGGCTATTGATGAGCATCTAAGTGGATGAATGTTGCCATGATTGCTGTTTCCCGTCGGGTTGTAAAACATGCTCCATGAGGACGTGACTGATGTCGCAAGTTGCAACCCGGATAACGGCATCTGAAAATTGAAAGACACTCACAGGATCAGTGGTCAGAAATGAAACAGTTGATTTGAATATTTAGTTGTTGTCGTGCCGTCCAATGTTGAGCGTGACTTCTGTCGTTGAAAAAGCAAGAAGATCTGCCGTGGGTGCTAGTAGTTTTGCAGATGGAAGCGTTCATCGATCCATATCTGAAGCCAGTCTAATATTATCCTCGTCTCTCTGCCATATTGGAGGAACTTTCGAGAGCTTCGGCTTGCGTTTATGTCCACTACTCAAACTCCTTGAGAAACGGGTGTTCAAAGTCCCTTTGATCAAGGATTTGGTTCCTTACTTGCTTATTGTAGAACAACTTCTAACTAACATATTTCAGTTTAATCGTCGATTGAGCTCCGAAAGTATGCGGTTCTATGAGTGTTTCGAGTTTGCTTGAAATAAATTTTGGATACCGGATGATTCGATTGATGAAGCTGTAAGCAATAGCTGCCGACTGTACGAAATGTTGTCGCAACTCTTCAACTGCAATCCTCAAACAAAATGACGTTACAAGCAAAGCCTTTAATTGTAGTAAGAGCTTTTCATGTGACTGGTCTTTGGAGAAAGTTCAGTTTTTGAGCGTTTATGATTGTTATTTTTACAATGAGAAAACTGAATCGACTACGTGAATCTTCGCTTTTCATTGAATTTTTTTCAAAAAAAATCCGAGTTGATTTTTGGCAGTGAATTGTAGAAAAGTAAAGTTTCGATTTGGCCGAGGTTTGCATTGAAAGTTGATGAAGTCTTGTTGCCGCCTAAGTGACTTAAGCCTCCGTTCTCTGCAATCCCATTCATGCTAAAATGTTGGTAATATCATGCGTTGAGTCTTTTAGCTGACATCTCATTTGTTATATTAACAATATCTTTTCCTTCGTCTGCCGCGTGTTGTCGATTGTTGTGTGTATCTATTAATAATGCTATATTGTAGTTTCTGCAGAATTGTCCGTCTTTAAAGTTCTGTTTTGATTTCAAAGTCCATGTGTTTTAGAGGGCTCCAGTTGTGGGGGTTGCTCGTTTGCGGTTCGCGGGTCTGGTTGTATCCAAACTTTAATGGTGTCTCGTATCCAGTTTGTCCTTGTTCTGGTAACCACTTTGCAGGTGGAGTAGTGAACTTGACTCTGCGTTAAACCTTACTAATTGGCTTACGACTGCTCAAAAAGTAATCACTCTTAGGGCAGGCGTAACTGATGCCCTATTGGCATCCTATGATATCAAGCAGGTAGCCTATTATTCCTAAACGTTTTTGTAGAGTTTTTATGAGTATCATTCAGGTAATGTCCTTACCAACAATTGAACGGGTATCAATTGTTGGTAAGGACATTACCTGAATGATACTCATAAAAATCTCTGAGTTTACCGAATGGGTTTTTTTAATAGGTTTGTTCACGTTTGTCTCAATCAAGAGAAAAAAATAAAAGTCGAGCGACCGCATAATACTGAATTAAAGAATCAATGGTAGCTTGATTTTCTGGAGTTCTCAATTTTGATTTACCGAAACCATTAATCATCAGCACATATGACTTCCCATTGGCACAGATTTCACGGCAGAAAACTGTCGTTTGTGAAATTCACCAAACTGCATTTCATCTTCAGCGGATTCCAAAATGGCGCGTTTTTTTCTGGCAAAATAGACCTAGTGATGATTTTACATTTTGTTAGATTTACGCCAACTAGTTGAATATCAGACCGCAATAGCTTTGTCGTAGAATTTGGTAGAGCTACGTTTGCAATGAAGTTAGATGCAATAGATTAGAGTAGTTTTAACATTTTTTCTTTAACCTTAAATATGTTAAATACTTATAGTCTCTTCCCATTATAGTCAGTTCACGATATATGTTGCATGCATATGTTTACTTCAAGTAGATATATTAGTGGAACACGAACCTGAATCACACATGCATGATCCTCAGGAGTGAATGTTGCGAAACCGTATTCGCTGATTTCAATTTGATCGGCGAAATATGCACCATTGCCACATGGCTCTCCTTTTTTGTCACTCAATTCATTCATGTCGAGAGAACTGTTAAACTTCTGTCTATCTCCGTTTACCAGGAACTGCCTGGTTTGGGATATAGCTTTGGTTCCTTCTTCAGAACTCCCATGATAACCCACCGCCCATTCATTTGGGTTTCCATCCATTCGGAGCCAATCATCATTGCCATCGTCATATCTGCCCAGCACACGTAGACCAACTCTTACCCAATTAGAGTTAGGCTGGTAATAGTCAATTCCACCCCGTATCTGCTTGTCTCCAAATTTATGCGGAAATCTTATGTCACCAGCTGAGTCAAAATCCATCGGTTTCAAAGCCAGCAGATGCAACAGTCCTTTCTCTCGCTGCAGATCCGTATCTATTAAAAACTTCCGTTTGATAATGAACAATTTGAACGAACCATATGATAAAGTTCCATATAGTCCTCAAAGCCTTGGCGGAGATAACCAGTTTCAATGGACATGAAAATTCAAAAACCAAGGAAAACTCTAAGTTAATAGTTTCATTATGACTATGTTCACATTACATTCAATAAAACTAGTAAAATATAGTAGCTTCAGAATTTTGACACCCCTCAATAAGTCAAGAAATTCGATCCTAAGAAACCTACTAAAGTATCATCGGTGCCAAATTAGGATATTTTTGAAAAAGTGCCCGCTCTTTTCAATTTTTTTTTTATTTAACATTTTATAAACTGCATCATTCGGACAGTTTTTTTTCTGATTAACTTGCCTGCGGCGCAGATATTCATGAAAAAACAGGTGTTTTAGGTTTTAGTGGAGCTCTGAAAATCAGTTTGGTCGATTAAAAAATTTCGACTAGTCGGGTTTTTGTCGGCAGCTCTCTAAATTCGGGTATTTGTGACTCACTCGGGTACTGGTATAACTCACTCTAAAACTGATAGCTGCTTCAACTCAACTTTTTCCCGAGTCGGTTCATTTCAGAGTCCTGAAATCGATTTGTATCTATCATTACGGTGCCAAATAGATTCCACAGCGGGCCAAAATCAAATTTGTCGCGAAATCCGCAACTTTGCTACTTTCCTTTGATCTTTTTTGCAGTTTTGAATTCCACAAACAAATAGCAAACAAGTTACTGTATCAAGCAAAATTGAGGAACCTGCAAAAGTGTTTGCGGAATCTTGAACAGTTTACGGAATCCACAAGCAAACAAAAAACATGCGTATAGTAAAATCGAGATCTTGCGGAACCCGCTAATGTTAGCGGAATCCGCCAATTGTAAGCGGAATCCGAGCATTATAAGCAAATTGTAAGTGGAACTGTAAGTGGAACCCGCGCATTGTAAGCATAATCCGCAAAATTGTATGCGGAATCCGCATTTTGTTGGCGAGTTACCGTAAAATGCTTCCAACTCAAGATTATTTCGGATATTGAAAGTTTTTTGTCTGAACATAAGCAAAGAGTTCCTTGCCATGAAATATAAAGACGAAACATCAAGGCGCTCTATGCTACAAAAAAAACACGGGAGGGCAGCCGGATAAACTGTTTTGATTAGCAAAAGTGATCAAATCTTTGTCCTGTACTTTCTTTGCCTTTAAGCTCGTATGATCATCTGAACAAAAAATTGACAGAAAACTTGGGGGGCAAACAAAGAAACGAAAAATGGCTAAGGAGGTCTTCGAGGAAACAAAACTGGACTCTGATGGGGCCATGGTTTCACTGGATATAAAAACTTTCTACAAAAATGTTCCGCTCAATCAAGATATTAACATAGCAATGTGGAGATTGTATGGCTTATTTTCTGGCAAACCTATGCTAAAATTGCTAAACTTTGATGCGAGTGGTGTTTAGTTTAAATGCAACGGTGTGTGTTATGTACAAAAAGAATGTCTAGCAATGGGTGCTTGCCTTGCAGTCACTTTCGCCAATTTGTTGCTCACAAAAAATGAATTTGCTTCAAATGAATAAGTAACAAAGTTGAGGCCGTTAAAAAATGATCAAACTCGATTCTGCCTTGGTTATCAGAAAATTGTTAATAATAAATTGTAGGGGGTAGAGTATGAAGTCTGCTAGAAAGGATATCCCTTAAATCATGGCAAGATATCCGAAAGATAAATGTTTCTTAGATATGTGTATGATATAGTTTTTTTTTTTATTAGCCCCGGCCTGCTCAGTGCAGACCAACCGTGGGGGAGGGGGAGATGTCATCCATTTCGCCGCAGCCGGTCCCACCTTGAGGAGGCGGATGACACTGGGACCCCTCCAGCCGTGACCGAAGCGGGATTCGAACGCATGACTCTCGTGTTGAGAGACATGTGCCTAACCCACTCGACCACGGCTGCCCCATGATATAGTTAGATAGGTGGGTGATCCTGGAATTTTCCTCGATTGTGATATTAATTGCAATCAACTTACATTTTGCCCAGAAAAATTGGAAGCGAACAGTAAGCTGGTCTTTCTGAATTTAAATGTAAGCCTCAATTCAAATCCGGGTGGTATAGAAACCCACTGATACCGACAATATTCTGAAGTTTGCCAGCTGCGCCACTTTGCAGTACAAAAGAAACCACTTTGATGGCACTACCCATCTGGTTTTTATACGTACCTCACTACGCGAGAACTTTTGACAAAGCATTGAGAAAAAAGAGGAAATTAGATTGAAAATCGATATCAGAAGAAATGTTCGGATAAAAAGGCATCCGAAGTTTTTGACCAGAGTAGTGAAGAATATAAAAAGTGGGCTTTCGGAATTGAAAAACAAAAACGGAAACTGGTCGAACGACTAACCACCTGCTTTGACAATAAGATATCGAAGCAATTCCTTTCATCTACTAACTACAAAACTGCGCTAAAACTTCGGGAACAAAAAGTTTTGTGTACTCCAGAAAACTTAAAAGAAGCTTGTGATCTCTCGAGGATTTTTTTGCTCATGAACTGAAATTGGAAGTGTTGTATGAGCCTACTTTTAGTTGATGTAATTACACATATATCGCCTAAGCAAGGCGGGATTTAGCCACGGGAATTGATGAACTTCACAAACAGGACTCCCCATTAGAACAGATTTTGCAACAATAAAGGCACAAAGGATAGTAAAATTGATGAGTTGAAGTCGGAAAGTTAAGACCAAACAGGCAGCACTCCCAAATACTCACAGTAGAGGCTTTGCCTTAAGGGAATGAAACGAAACAGTCAGCAAGCGCGAAGAATTCAGAAGTCGGAAATTAACACTCGAACATTTCCATATAAACTTATGGACAAAAATTGTCAGAATTGAAAAAAAGTTTAATCCCGAAACGAAAAATAGTTACAGAAAAAGATCAAAAACAAAAAAAATCATAAATTTAAGTGAATTGTTTTCAAAAATCAGGTAAAACTTTTTGTAATTACAGTTTAATGGTTTAACAAACAAGGTTGAATGAGCAATTTTATAAGTTTATCATTTGAACATGTTTGATGTTTTTCTGAATCTGGGATTTTATGGATTAATTGGCAAAACATTTCATAAAAAGGGTTTTTCCAAACACCAGAAAGATAGACTCAAGATTTTGATTGAACATTGATTTAAGGTTTGTTATTGAAATTTCTTGAAAATAGTTAAATCCTTGCTTTTAAATTCCACATTTGCAATAAAAATTTTTTTAGCTATAGCTCTAAATTGTTCACGCAAAGATTGACTCAGACCATTATACCAAAAAAACTACGATCCATTCACATTTAAGGAACCCGCTTACGTTTGCTGAATCTGATTGCATTTTGCTGAATCCGGAACAACTAGCAATATTCGTTTGTTGCAGAACCCGCTATAACACTAATGTGCCAAAAAATTTACATTACAGGTATTTGTACTCTGTATTTACGGAAATTTTGCAAGTGGAAACCAATGAAACTTTAAAACAAAGATAAAATTTTTGTCTCTCGAATTCAGGGACAAAGAGACCTCAAACTGTGCGCCTATCCAGTGCACAATTGGTCTCGTACTGATCCTTTCTTTGTTTTGTTCTCATAAATATTTCAAATAAGCCATTTCGGCTAATACGCTTTTTTAAGTATCCCTCATCAACAACGCTTTGTTTTCAAGCAGTGAATTGTTCCGCGCTCGGAAAATATTGCTTTTTTGATTAACTGTTTCAGGCTATTTGAAACAAATTTTTTTGTTTCATCCTCCATTACGAGCCCAAATTATGCACTGCATAGGTGCTCTGTTGGTATTTCATGTCAGTGGAATCCAGAGACAAATAATTTATTATGAATTAAAATTTAAGATGATTCAACTTACAAACATTCCTTGATCTCTGCGTACAATTATCTGTAAAATAAATTTTGACGGCACATTTGTTTTTCCGGATTCCGCAACGAGCGATCATAACTATTTGTTCCGGATTACACAATTGGTGGCTTTTTCTGCGGAATTAAATTATATTCCGCAATTTTTTAAAGCTTAATCTGTAAATTCGTTTATTAAATTTTGTTTTATAAACTAAACTAAACCAATTTTTGCGTATGAAAAACTCAAAGCTAAAACTAGACTTATAATCTAGAATTTGCAGAGTGTAAAAGCAAGGGTTTAATCATGTCAGTGTAATCCAATGTCAAATTTTATCGTTGGATAATTAAAATCAGCATTTGAGATAGATTTCCTAGCAAACTGTACTGGATCATAATTTGGGAAACACCGAATATTGAAAATGCAAACAAATCAAGTATGCCGGTTGCTGTGCGCGTGGCACAAATTGTTCCGACCATAATATTATATTAAAGGAGGCGAGCAAGACAAGAAAAACAAAAGAAAGTATTCAAAAAATTTCAAAATTTTTTCAAATTATTTTTCAGAGAATTATCCAAAATTTTGACTTTTTTGATTCCCAAAATGGAGCGTACAAATCCAAAAACTGATTTCATTTTTTTGAAGTTTAGGGCTTAAAATTTTCATAACTAAGCTGTTTTTTGCCTGATCGCTTGCTTTATTTGCTCGAAAAAACAGGAAAAAATCAAAAATTTGAAACCATTTTTTTCTCGAAACCATGACTGAAACCATGACTGAAAATTCTTTAATATGATATAACTCTCAACCCTGTCCGATTCTTTTTTGATTCCGACAGCGTAAATTTACTACATATGAAATATTATTTTCAAAGGGCTCCAAAAATTGTACCTGATTCCGCAAAACTAGTTATTTTTGGAACGCTTTTAAACGATACAGTGTTTTAGTTATTTGTTTGTCAGATCCAAAACAGCGAAGATCATACAAAAGTAGCAACGTTGTGAACTTGGCGACAAATCTTATTTTGGCTTGTTGCGGATTCCGCTTGCAATTAAATGCACAGTTTGGTTTTCAAAAGTCGGAACAAAACGACAACAACAGCATTTTTGAGTTCCGGTGGGTGATTTCTTCTCCAGAAAAAATTCGACAATTATATAATTTTTTTTGGTTACTTTTGTATAGAGTCTGAAAAACATTGATGCCTTTTTCTCAAAGTTAAATAGATACTTCATCTGTGATTACTTTTTTAATTAGTTTTTCAAAATTTGATTCCTAAGATGAAGCTAAAAACTCCTAAAGGTAACTTCATTTGAGTAAAACTAAATTTTCAAGGCTTTAGTTAAGCAAATACAAGCTAATGTAAGACTGCTTACTCGCATGAATTTAGACAAAAAATCAAAAAACCAAACCGGTTTTTCTCGACACCGGGAATTTTTTTTTAATTGTTTAATGTCGTTCGAATCACATCTGGAGGGTTGTATTATGACTTATCACTCAACCCAGCCCGCTTATTATTTGCGGTTGCTGATTTTGCGAGGAAAACGAAAAGCCTGCTCGCTTGCTTTATTTGTTCGAGGTAAGACAAAAAAATCAAAAAATTCAAAACGTTTTTTCTCGACATTGGAAAAAATTTCCCGAAATCACCTCTGAAAAGGCTTTGATATGATAAATCTCTCAACCCTGTTCGATTATTTTTTTTGTTAACTGGTTTTGCGTGGAAAACAAAAAGAAGAAGAAAAATTAAAACACACCCGAATACAAAGTTCCTCTCCATTTTCAATGGTCGGAACAATAATTTCAAATTAAATTGAGACAAGAATTTCGGTTTCGTTAAAACGTTACCAGACCCAAATATTATCATTTTGATCGTGAAATAGCGTGTTTTTCCGGTTTTTCTCGACACCGGGAAAGTTTTTTTTGTATAATGTCGTTCGAATCACAACTGGAGGGGTTTATTATCACTTATCACTCAACCCAGCCCGATTATTATTTGCGGTCTCTGATTTTGCGAGGAAAATGAAAAGCCTGCTCGCTTGCTTTATTTGTTCGAAGTAAGACAAAAAATCAAAAATTTCAAAACGTTTTTTCTCGACACTAGAAAAAAGTTTCCCGAAATCACCTCTGAAAAGGCTTTGATATGATATATCTCTCAACCCTGTCCGATTATTTTTTTTGTTAACTGGTTTTGCGTGGAAAACAAAAAGAAGAAGAAAAATTCAAACACACCCGAATACAAAGTTCCTCTCCATTTCCAATGGTCGGAACAATAATTTCAAATTAAATTGAGACAAGAATTTCGGTTTCATTAAAACGTTACCAGACCCAAATATTATCGTTTTGATCGTGAAATATAGTTCACACGCTATTTCACGATCAAAATGATAATATTTGGGTCTGGTAACGTTTCAACGAAACCGAAATTTTTGTCTCAATTTAATTAAAGACATTTTAAAAACATTTTTCATTTTTTTAAACAAAAAACTCCGAAAAGGCATAGCACTGCGCTTATTCGAGCAGCCGTCTTTGTTTTGTTTTCTTGATTTTTTGTACTGTTCCGACTTTCAAAGCAAAAAAGTGATGGAGTTTTTATGATTGTGGTAGCTTTTTTGTTCAGACGATTTTAGATTTTTTGAAAATTTTATGGGAACAAAAGAACTGCTGCGGTTGCTTCAGATCAATCAGGATTTTACTATGATTCGGGTAAAGTCTTGTTCTCAAAATATGGAACAAATTAAGAAGCAGAATTAGCAGTCAGTTTTTTCCTTGATAGGAGCAATCTCTTATTTTTCAAACAGCCTGTTTCTGGAGATAATTCAGCTAACTAGATCACAACGAAAAGCATTCTCAAACTTGCGGCTGAGCTGAACATACCATCCCAAGGTTGTACTATCGCAGTTATGAAATCGTCAAGTCCGGAAGGACGGTTAGATTCGTCATCAACCAGCATGAAGTATCCGCCTAAATATCAATACTTCGAATTAATTTCATTATCCAAAAAATTTTTTGGAGAAATCCTTGTGCAGTCATTAGACATGAAGTTGTAACTTTTAGTTCTCAAGTTTTTCTTTTTCTTTTTTCTTTTGCTTTCACTACAACTACTAGAGATTCATAAAAACTGATAATACATGTAGGCAGGTTTTCTCGAGGGGGGCAGATTTTCAAAGCTTTCCTAAATCACTATAAAGACCCCATTTTGACCAAATTTTCTGCACTTCAGGCTTAATTTTGAAAAAACAGGCCAAAAAAGGCGATTTTAGGCAATTTTTGGAAAATTTTTTGTCCAAAAACTCGCGTTTTTTTTTCGAAATTAGTATATATTGGCGCCAAAGGCGCCTTTATAAACATTTTAGGAACCGTCACCAAAAAAGGACATCTCAAAATAGTACAAAGGGGGACCCTTTGGGTTGGAAAGGGGTCGAACTCCTGAAAGAAAGCGTCCGCCCCCGACAACCCCTAAATCCGCCCCTGCATGTAGGTATTTTTTAAAAGGGTGATAGAAAAAATTGTTTAATTTTACTGCGGACAAAAAATTTTATCCACTTCAGGTGAACTCCGGGTATCCACTCGAAAAAGCACTGTGCTAACGATATCGGTAAAAACAAGCATTAGTTTTCCTTTTTTAAGTAGCTCATCTTTGAATCAATTCTGTATTGAACGTGATAGGGTGGACATCCTATACTAGGGTAAAATGAATTTTAAAAAACATTAGCTCATTTCAATTTAGCGAGAAATTATCTTTGAAAGTGTGGGAAAGCATAACAGAATTCAGTATTTTCTGTGATACACGACATCATTGAAATTACTGTTACTCGTGCGTAATTCAAAAAAGTTTACCGCTAGCAATGCAATTAAGAAGCAACCTTACAAGTATTTTGGTCCATTTAGAAATCCACTGAGTGTTTGATTTGCCGGTCTAGAAAAGCAATGGCTCGATATTAGAATGGGTCAAAAAAGCTATCTGACCGGTGATTTTTTTGTGAAGCTATTATAGAGGACTAAAAATTTCTAATTGAGCCAGTTGATGTAAATAGTTCATAGGAAACTTCCAGTTTTCTAAAAGCATGTAGCAATATGGCAAAAAAACCAGTTGCAAAATATATTCGAAACTTGATTGGTCGATGAAAATGGCAGAATATTTTCGCTCTTTTGGTGTTTTTTTTCTCCAGGCAAAATTGGATTTTTTAACAGGCATCTCTTGACCAATTTTATTTAAATCTTTGGAAAAGTAGTGTCCTTAACTTAAACTTTCATAACATTATAAACCTGTGATTTTCCGAAATGTTATGAGAGTATACTGATTGCCAATTTGGGACAATTAAGGCGCGCGATATATTTCCTGCTATTAAATGAAGATTTAATCTGTCTTATAATTGTTCGAAATTGAATTGAAGCATGCTATTTGGTCTATTTAATACTTTGCTATATGCGAAATATATTTTTGTATTTTCATTGTGTGTGGGGTTACTGTTCTTAAAACTAAGCAAACACTACTCTATTGACCTAACAAGGCAATCAAAATATCCACAGCTTTTCTTTGATTTGAGCTGTCTAACCTTCAGCTACAAAATCAAATTTCGAAACACTTGACTATAATACTTTCACAATTGTCAAATTGTTGAACTATAAAGAGAAACTTGAATTAGCTCTTCCCAGCCCAGGAAAAAATTACTGCCTAGAAAAACAAGACGTATCAGGGCAAATTTATGAACGTTTCGATTGCCTTTTAAGACCAATGGTGTGTAACTTGTTTCTTGAAACAATTTAAAATTTTCAAAAACAATGATTTTTTTTTAATGAGCTTTTAAAAGCAGGGACGAATCTAAGATTTTCTCGAGAAAGGGGCGAACTTTTGACAGTTTTCATAGTTTTTGTAGTTCAGAATTTTTGTTGTTCGACTCAACTGATTTTCGAAGTTCTCTCAAACCATTATATACACCAGGGGCGGATTTAGATGGGGGCGGGGGGGGGTTTGGGGGTACGGACGGCCTCCCTTCCCTCAGGGATTCGACCCCCTGCCGACCCAAAGGGTCCCCCTTTGTACTATTTTCCAATATCCATTTTTGGCGATGGACCCTGAAAACATTCTAATGGCGCCTTTGGCGCCAATATATACTTATTTTGAGGGGGGAGCGCGCGCCGAAAAAACTCGATTTTTTGGTCAAAATTTTCCAAAAAGTGCCTAAAAACGCCTTTTTTGGCCTGTTTTTCATAATTTGCCCCCCCCCCCCCCCCCCCTCGAGAAAATCCTAGATCTAAGAAAAACAGGCCAAAAAAGTTTCAGGCCCTTTTTGGAAAGTTTTGAAAATTCACGTTTTTTGAGGCCCTCTTATCTTTTACTTCCGAAGGCTCCTTTAGGATAGTTCAGCCAAGAATGGATAATGGATGTCTGAAATTGAAATAAAACCAAATCCATCAACCCCCATAACCTCCCCCCCCCCCCCCCCCCGAACCTCCACCCCCATAAATCCACACAAAGTGATAGAAAAGTAATTAAAAGACCAAATATCACGCTTTTATTTGATTTGGAATTTGGGAACTCTCTCAGTTAGATTAAATTCCGCTTACGCGTTAATAGCACGAGATAATGAGCGTCAATAGTACCAAGTTGGCATTCTTTACACCTCCCACCTCCATAACCCTACGAATGATCGCAGCTAAAAACTCATTTAAATTTGAGCTCAGAACAAGCATACCTTTCGCATGATGTAAAAATATCCCATCAAAAATTGATAGCTAACAATTCGAAATTTGTCTGCAGAAAAAAACCAGCCAGACTACAAATATTTTTTCATTTTCTTCGAACAAAAACAAGTGCAGGAAAAACTATGCTTTTGGAATTGGATATGTTCGTAAAAACTCTTTAATTGCCTCTCAAACTTCTTCCCATTTCTTAGAAAATCTTATCGCGATATACCATATTTAATTCTTTAGTGGGTATATGTGGCTAAAAAGGTATTGATTAATGTCGATTTATCAAATAAATGAATAAATATCAAATTGACTTATCAAATAAAAAAATAAACAAGACTGCTCGTATCAGGGCGAAGCCCTGAATGTTCCGACGGTCTTTTAAGGTTTATGGGGCAGTAGTTACATGCAAAAATTAAACGTAATAAAGTAAAATTTAAAACGAAAATCTAAATTTGAAATTTTTTTATGAAATAATCCCCCCATATAAAGTACCAAAAGAACAGATTTCGCTATTGTATCAAATCAATTATGGCAAATAGGCTTCTTTCAACCAATTTGGAACAATTTCTAGGACGGATTAAATCTCGGCTTACGCGTTAATAGCGCGAAATATATCGCGCGTTAATTGTCCCAAATTGGCAAAATGGCAATCTTTAAACCCCCATAACTTTACAAAAAATAATCAAAGGTGAAATATCTTTTCAAATTTAAGCTCAGGACAGCAATACTTTTTGAATGATAAAAACATTCTGTCAAAAATGGCTAGTTAAAAATTCAAACTTTGTCTGAAGAAAAAAAAACCCACCCCGAGCACAAATATTCCGTTACTTTCGTATCGAAAGTCGGAACAATAAATGATTGTAAGGATGATGTAGATCTTAATTTGAATTTTTAGTTACAGCTTTATCAATCAATAAATTATCATTTTGTCCTTATAATGATGATGCAGATCTTAATTTGTATTTTTATCATTACAGCATTACCAATTAATTATTCATCCTTTTTGTTCCGACTTTCGATACGAAAGTAACGGAATATTTGTGCTCGGGGTGGGTTTTTTTTTCTTCAAACAAGTTTCGACATTTTAACTAGGTATTTTTGACGGAATTTTTAAAAATCATTCGAAAGGTATTGTTGTCCTGACCTTGAGCTTGAAAAAAAATTTCACCTGTGATCAGTTTTTGTAAAGTTATGGGGGTTTAAATTTTGCCATTTTGGTCAAAATGGGACAATTAACGCGCGATATATTTCGCGCTAATAACGCGTAAGCGAGATTTAATCAGTCTTATAAATTGTTCCAAATTGGTTCAAGGAAGCTTATATGAGTTAATTGATTTGTTAATAGGAATAAAATTGATCTCCTTGTACTTAATATGACGTGTAGAGCACTTAATATGAATGTTTTCACAAAAAATCTCAAATAAAAAAAATTAACTTTATTTTATTACATTTAAATTTTCATGTTATCTTTGCTCCATAGACCTTAAAAGTCGGTCGGAACATTCAGGGCTTCGCCCTGATACGAGCAGTCTTGTTTTCCTTTTAGTTGCTAAAAAAATTTCCTTAACAACATCGTTAACAGCTACATTTTTTACAAAATCAGTGCTTTTTGCTGTATTAACCTTTTGCTTCTGCAAACTTCTGCAGGGCGGCAATGATTTTCTGTTGGTTTTCGTTCATTGTTGCAACCAGATCTTCGTGAACCTCTTTTTCTTCCTCAGTAGGGGGGACCTGCAGTATTTTTTCCTTCACTCTCTGAAAATCTGGATCCACGGTGGCCTAAATTTGTTTCGATAACCTTTTTTTTGACGTGAAATCCCAAGTTGACTGACAAGACTTAGAGAAGAAGAAAAAAATTATCAACTTCTTTGCGCATTATATTGACATGACGAATTCTATGCTGAGCTAATTAAATTTGCTTCAGATTTGAAGCTCAGCAGTTTTGTTTAATCTGAAATGGCAAAGAAGATTAGCTTTGAGTTATTGTTCCGACTTTCGATACAAAAGTAACGGAATATTTGTGCTCGGGGTTGGGTTTTTTTTTCTTCAGCAAATTTCGACTATTTAACTAGCCATTTTTGACAAAACTTTTCTATATCATTCAAAAGGTATTGTTGTCCTGGGCTCAAATTTGAAAAGATTTTCCACCTGTGATCATTTTTTGTAAAGTTATGGGGGTTTAAAGATTGCCATTTTGGCCAATTTTGGACAATTGACGCGCAATATATTTCGCGCTATTAACGCGTAAGCGGAGAAATAATCCGTCTTAGAAATCGTTCCAAATTGGTTGAAAGAAGCTTATTTGCCATAATTGTTTTGTTACAAGGAGCGAAACCTATCCTTTTGTACCTTATATGGCGTGTGTGGGGGGATGATTTTCCTTAAAAAAAGTCAAGTTATAGAAAACAATTTTTTTTTCATTTTGTTTTATTGTTCCGACTTTTTCATTTAGGTTTTTATTGTTATTACTGCTCCATAAACCTTAAAAAGCAGTCGGAACATTCAGGGCTTTGCCATGATACGAGCAGTCTTGTTGTTCCGACCTTCGATACGAAAGTAACGGAATATTTGCGCTCGGGTTGGTTTTTTTCTTCAGCAAATTTCGACTATTTAACTAGCCATTTTTGACAAAACGTTTTTATATCATTCAAAAGGTATTGTTGTCTTGAGCTCAAATTTGAACAGATATTTCACCTGTGATCATTTTTTGTAAAGTTATGGGGGTTTAAAGATTGCCATTTTGGCCAATTTTGGACAATTAACGCGCGATATATTTCGCGCTATTAACGCGTAAGCGGAGAATTAATCCGTCTTAGAAATCGTTCCAAATTGGTTGAAAGAAGCTAATTTGCCATAATTGTTTTGTTACAAGGAGCGAAACCTATCCTTTTGTACCTTATATGGCGTGTGTGGGGGGATGATTTTCCTTAAAAAAAGTCAAGTTATAGAAAAAAAAAATTTTCATTTTGTTTTATTGTTCCGACTTTTTCATTTAGGTTTCTATTGTTATTACTGCTCCATAAATCTTAAAATGCAGTCGGAACATTCAGGGCTTTGCCATGATACCTGCAGTCTTGTTGTTCCGACCTTCGATACGAAAGTAATGGAATAGTTGCGCTCGGGTTGGTTTTTTTTTCTTCAGCAAATTTCGACTATTTAACTAGCCGTTTTTGACAAAACTTTTTTATATCATTCAAAAGGTATTGTTGTCTTGAGCTCAAACTTGATAAGATGTTTCACCTGTGATCGTTTTTCGTAAAGTTATGGGGGTTTAAAGATTGCCATTTTGGTCAATTTTGGACAATTAACGCGCGATATATTTCGCGCTATTAACGCGTAAGCGGAGAGTTAATCCGTCTTAAAATCGTTCCAAATTGGTTGAAAGAAGCTTATTTGCCATAATTAATTTATTACAAGGAGCTAAATCTATCTTTTTGTACTTTAAATGGCGTGTGGGGGTTGATTTTCATAAAAAATTTCAAATAAAAAAAAAGTTCATTTTGTTTTATTACATTTAACTTTTTAATGTTATTATTAATCCATAAAACCTTAAAAGGCAGTCTTGGTTTTTTAGGTATGGGGGTGGAGGAAAAGATGTTACGTCTATCTTTTTGAAATAGAAACTGCGAGCAAATTAATGTCAGAACAAAACTATGCTCATTACAGAAGACATTGATACTTTTGTAATTAGGCATCCACATTAATTAACCCCTCAAGTATTTGGCAATATTTAGGCTACGAATACTCACACGTGTGGTTGACGGAGGTTGATGTTTTTCTCCATCTTCCGACTTCAAACAGTGAATAGAATATGCTTTAATGCAGTCGGAGAATGGTCGTAGGCATTCGGAACAGGCCGACCCATTGCCAAAATGCTTTGACATGGACCTGATTTTTGGTAGATCATAGCCTTGCTTGCCACAAGATAAAACAAAACAACGCTTTTTTGGTTTAAACATTTCAAAAGCGTTCAGAGATACGACTAATAACACAACACAGCCTGGCTTATATGAACAACTCTTGTACAGTTGTACGAATTAGATAGAATTTTTTAAACTAAATACTTTGAGAAAGAAAAACGTTAAAATTTTACAAAACAAAAGAGCTAACGTTAGATTTCTTACATTAAAAATTGATATGAAACTATAATCTGTAAACAGAGTGTAACGGATTTTAGTTATTGTATCAGCTAGACTAACGATTGTTTCTGAACATGAAGAAAGTTCGAAAAGTATGCTTGGGGTGATTTTTGGTTCAACCCAATTTCATTTTTTTCCATCATGAACCTCGATCCTGAAAAATTCGGGTTTTTCAGCAGATGGGCTTGCTCTAGCCTATGTGCGGCTGTTTGTTTGATCATTGCTCGTTCAATACTGAAAACACGTAATAATGATGCGTGGTCATTTTTTCCGCATTCGAAATAGTTCGAAATTGAATTGAAACTAATTTTAGCAACTTGATAAATTGGTAACAAATTTATATTTTATCTGGAGACCAGTTAGAGTACATTTGGAAAATTAAGGGCTTCGTCTTGATATTCGAGTAGTCATGTTAATATAATTACTTTCGAAGAACAAATTTTGGCTTTTTAACTTGAGAGTTCTGGCAAAGAAAAACAAAACCACACCCGAGAGAAAATTTAAAACTTGATTTTAAATAGTTTTCCATCTTGACTATAATTTCCAGTTCAATTTTCATTATTGAGTTTCTCTATTATTCGAGTTTAACCAAGATCTTCAGCAAGCAAACAAAAATTTCAAATAAACAAGGGCAGCCGGTTACTGTGCAAGTAGCACAGAATGTTCCGACCATAACTTTAGGACACTACGTTTTGCGAAGTTTTTTTCGAAATGAGTGTAGTTTTTTCTGCTTGGTGTGAAAAAAGATCTGACGCAGAAAGGTAATTTGAGCATATAAAACAGTCATAGTAAAAAAGTAAATTAGACAAAAATGTTTGAAAAAAAATTACAGGAAAAACTAAAAATTTATATAAAATCTTGAATTTTTTGAAGTTTTTGTTTCCTAAAGTGAAGCTAAAAAACTTCGAAAACAAGTTTTACTCGAGGAAAACTAAGTTTTAAGTTCCCTAATTAGGTATAATTCAGGTGTTGTAAGCCTGATCGCTTGCTTTATTCGCCCGAATTGAGACGAAAAATAAAAAAATTCAATCCTCTTTTCTCAACACTATAAAAAAGTTAGAAAGATTTTAATGTCGCTCGAATCACGATCACGACTGAAAAGGCGATAATATGATATTTCACTCAACGCTGTCTGATGTTTATTTCTGGTAGATTTTTCGCTTGGAAAACAAAAAGCAAAAAAAAATGAAACAAAACCGAATAAGAAGTTCCTCCCTATTTATCAAATGGTCGAAACAAAAACCTCGGATTATTCGACTGTTGATTTTTCGATGTGAGCTTCAAGCATTGAGCAAAAAACAGTGCAGAAAACCAGTTCAGATTTGATTTCTTCTACACGTTAAATTAACATGAAATAAAACAAAAAAGGATTGAGCGTCATCCCAAACATCAAAAAAGTGCTCTGATTGAGGAAATGACGTTTTATAATTAACAGCTAAGCATTATAGCAGCTGAAATCAAAAACTTTTTTCTTTGCAAACTGAAAAAAAAGTCACTCAATTTTTTTTCTTGAGGTTCAGCTTTTAATTTGATTACTTTCGAAGAACAAAATTTGGTTTTTTAACTTGACATTTTTGGCAAGGAAAAACAAAACCACTCCCGAAAGAAAAGTTAAAACTTGATTTTAAATATGTTTTCATCTTGACTATAATTTCCAGATCAATTTTTATGATTGAGTTTATCTATTATTCGAGTTTTACCAAGATCTTCAGCAAGCAATCAAAAATTTTAAATCAACAAGGATCAGCAAGTAGCACAGAAGGTTCCGACCATAACTTTAGGAAATTACGTTTTGCGAAGTTTTTTTTCGAAATGAGTGTAGTTTTTTCTGCTTGGTGTGATAAAAAGATCTGACGTAAGAAGATACTTTAAGCATATAAGACAGTCATAGTAAATAGGTAAATCAGACAAAGTTGTTTGAAGCAAAATTCCAGGAAAAACTAAAAATTTATAGAAAATCTTGATTTTTTTGAAATTTTTGTTTCCTAATATGAAGCTAAAAAAATTCGAAAACAAGTTTTACCTGATTAAAACTAAGTTTTAAGGTCCTTAATTAGGTATGAATCAGCTGTTGTAAGCCTGCTCGCTTGCTTTATTTGCTCGATTAATGACAAAAAATAAAAAATTTCAAACCTCTTTTCTCAACACTATAAAAAATTTAGAAGGGTTTTAATGTCGCTCGAATCATGATCACGACTGAAAAGGTGATAATATGATATTTCACTCAACGCTGTCTGATGTTTATTTCTGGTAGATTTTTCGCTTCGAAAACAAAAAGCAAAAAAAAATGAAACAAAACCGAATAAGAAGTTCCTCCCTATTTATCAAATGGTCGGAACAAAAACCTCGGATTATTCGACTGTTGATTTTTTGATGTGAGCTTCAAGAATTGAGCAAAAAACAGTGCAGAAAACCAGTTCAGATTTGAATTCTTCTGCACGTTAAATTAACATGAAATAAAACAAAAAAGGATTGAGCGTCATCCCAAACATCAAAAAAGTGCTTTGATTGAAGAAATGACGTTTTATAACTAACAGCTAAGCATTATAGCAGCTGAATTCAAAAAAAAATCTTTTTCTTTGCAAACTGAAAAAATTATTCGATTTTTCTTTTCTTGAGGTTCAGCTTTTGATGATTGCAAAAACTTTTCGAAGTTGTGTATACACTTTTCATGTTTTGAGCACTATAGAAATTCAAAACAGCAATTTACAGGAGAGAAAAAGTTTCGCGAAAAAAAATAATTTGTGGGGGACTTTATTGAAGGCCTTGGAGAAATCAGCATAAAAAGCAATGATCTCATCATGGGGATTTTCATCCAGGGCTTTGTAGATTCGATTTAGGAATTGGAGCATGTTGTTCATTACGGAGCGTTTCTTCACAAAACGAAAGACGGTCTTTAAAGTGCTCGTAGAGTAGACAGTACATGCATTTTTCAAAAAATTTGCTCTCAAAATTTAGAGGAGAGATTGGGCAATAGTTCTCAACATCTTTTGGGTCGTTTTTTTTTGTGAATGGGTTTTACAGCCGCTGTTTTCCAACTCGTTGGCATTTTGCGTATGCGTTTAATATTCTTGAAAAGCTTATTGAGTATATTACTCATTTGTTTGCCGCATCGTTGGTAAAACCCGGGAGGTAGACCATTTAGTCCACTAGTTTTTGTAGTGTCTATATATGCCAGAATATTACTTATTGTTTTGTTTGAAACGCTGAAGTTTGTTAGGGTTGGTGATTCGCACTTTATGTCAAGGAAGTTGTAGTTCTCTTCGGCTGAAATTACTGAGTGAAAAAATGTGTTAACCATTTCTACCTTTTCTTCTGGAATTGATGTCATTTTATCTTTGAACTTGATCGTTTTCGGGTTGTTCGAAATTCCATTGACATGCTTAAGGTGCTCGTATATTTGACCACAATTTCTTGAACCAAAAATTTTTTCTTGGTATGAGATTCGATCATGTTCACATAATTCAGTGATTTGGCTTTCTAGTTTGAGGACCTTTTTTTTCGGTAGCTAGTTGATCGTTTTTCGAGTAACCATTTTTGCGTGTTGAGCATTTTCATCTGATGTAATGTACTCGGTGTAATACAAGGTGGAAGCGATTGACGATATTTGGTTCTTTTTGAGATGTTAGTGTCTATCAAGTCGGTTAACTAGTCTTGAAGTTCGTTGTACATATTGTCAACGTTGGTGTAGCATTGGGAGTTGAAGGGCCGATCTTTCATGTCACTAACAATCCGGTCATAATCTCATGACCCAAAGCTGTAGAAGTTTGTCATTGCTGGGGGAGGATCGAAATGTTCAAGTTCTTTTGCTGTTCTGATTGCAATATGGTCAGAACAGTCATAGATCTTATCAAAATTTTCATCGTGTTCAGATTATACTTGACAGTTTTGATACAGAAAGACGTCCAACGTGTTTGTGCCGCAGGTCGGAAAGTTAATGCCCTGTTGAAGAAGCCTATCTTCTAACACTTCTAGGATTTCTTGTTCATCGTTTTCTTGACTACTGAAGATGTCCCAGTTTGTAGATGGAAAGTTAATGTCTCCACAGATGACTGATTTACTCTTTTTAGGGATGGCTTCGAGAATTTTGTTGAAACATTGGTAGTCATATCTGTATTGACTGGCTCTAGGGGGGTTGTAAAAGGAGCATATATAGATGGTTTCGTTTGCTAGGGTTATGTTACATAGGACACAATATTCGACGTCGAGTTTTATTTTTGGGAATTAAGTGAGTTCCTAATGGCAATCAGGGCACCTCCGTGAGTGTTAGACGAATGATGTGCTCTATCTGCTCGGTAAATGTTGTATTCAGCAAACAGTAGTTCAGAGTTTGCGATGTTTTTGTTCAACAAGGTCTCACAAATACAAATAACGCTGTACAAACCAATTTTTATTGCATTTGCAATTTTGAATCTTCTTTCATGGTTAACTAAACTGCGTGCATTAAACTGTAAAACGTGGAGATGATCTAGTCAAACGTTGGATGTTGCAATTTTTTGTTCTGGCTGGGAAGTTTGGTTTAACTGAATATTTGCTCCATCATGGAAAAGCTCAAGGTTTCTTATTTTCAGTTTTTGACGTGGTACGCCTTCTTCAAGCATTTCCCTACGTCGTTTCAGGCAGAGATTTTCTTTGATAGAATCTTCTTTACATAGGGCACGTGACAGAAATGTATTCATTTCTTTCATTTCGTCTCTTTTTTCAGTACTTTTTGCAATCACTAGATTGACTGCTGCTGGATCTTCAAGCGTAACTAGAAGTGTTCTAGGCTTTTTCCTCTCTTTGTTGAATGTTTCAAGTCTTTTACACTGGACTATTTTCGGTTTAACTCATATGGTTCTCAAAATTTCTTGTAGTTTTTCGTGAGTTTGGCCAAGATTCACGTC